CGGGGCTCTCCCTCCGCTGGCCGCGGCGAGTGGACGGCAGAGCAGCAGCGTTTCCCCCTCAGACGCCCGGGTCAGACGGGCACTGTCAGGCAGCGCCGGACATTCACAGCCTCCCCTCTGGAGACCGGCCTGCTGTGGAGGCCGCTGGGCCAGCCCGCGGGCGCTGCTCCGCACTGGGGGCTCCCCAACCCCGGCCGGCTGCGTGGGGGCCTCTCCCCACGCTCCCGCGGTAACCAGGGCTCCGTCTGCCCCACACACCAGCTGGCTGGAGGGGTTGGGGAGCGGCCCCCCTTCCGGGGCTCCGTTGCCCCACTGGCCGCCTCTGCGGGTGGTCGCTGCCCCACGCTCAGCCCCCACGGAGGCTTCCGGCCGGGGGAGGCCTTGGCTGGCCGAGGGCCGTGTCGCCCTGGGGGCCGCCCACCCCGGGGCCGCCCCTGCAGCGTGGCCTTGCTCAGACCCACGTGCGCCCCACTCGGGAGTCGGGGCCAGCACAGAGCACCCGCTGCAGGACCCTACTGAGGCGAGAGCCCAGAAACGCCGGAGCCCCAGTCCCCTCCGCGCCCACCCCCGACCCCAAAGGGAGCCCGTCCGCACCCCTAAGGCCTGTGCCCCGCGGTGGGATTGGTCGCCTCTGGCTGTTCCCGTGGTGTCGCCCAGCGTGGCCGGCCACCACCATGGGTGGAGCGCACAGCACCCCCTGGCCCGGCCCCGGAGCCCGGCCGCTGCTCACTCTTCTGGGGCCGTCACAGACCAGGATTCCAGGGAGCCCCGCGCCCCCAGGCCCCTGGGCCCAGCCCTTGTGGGCCCGCTTTTGAGAGCACCCCTCCCACTCGGGCCCTGGCCCCGGCGTGGCCCCCACACGCCCCTCCTGCACCTCCCCAGGGTGGGGACGGCCCTACCCGAGGGGCCCTGACCCCTAGTCCAAGTTCAGCCCAAGATTCTGAGACTGGTGAGTCAGGTTTCGAGGAAACTCGGGGCCCCTCCCTCGGGCCCTCCCCACCCCTCCGCTGCACCCTCTCCCTGAAAGCTGGGCGCCCTGCCTGCCGCCTCCCCCTGCCAGGCCCGGGCGCCTTCGGGCAGGCAGTGTGCCAGTGTGGGAAGCCGCACCACCTTGGGGAGGGTGGGGAGGGGCCTGGGGGGCGGGGGGAGAGGGCCCCTGGGAGGGCCCCTGGCCGGGAGGCCTGTCCACAGCCCTGGGAGAGGCCCCGGCCGGCTCACCGCCCTTTCCTGGGGCGTC